GGCCACCTGCCTGGGGTGGGACAGGCCACCCTCCTGGCGGCTGATGAGAGGTCCTGCCAGCAGGGGAGGCCTGGTTCTGTCCTGAGTGGGAGCAGAACACTCATGACCCGGCCCTGGGAGTCCTGCCTGAAGGACGCCTTGGGATCTCTGCTGGGGGAAACCTGCCCCATGCTGGGGTCTGGGGGGAGCGAAGACATGGCTTCCTCTTGGAACCATCCCTGGGGATGGGGGTACAGCCTGCCTGGGGGTTCTGGGTGAGCCCTTCTTGGGAGCCCACAGGCCGTCCCCTCACCTGGGCGTGGAAGCGATCGAAGGTCATGATGGGCCCGAAGAAGAAGAAGGGCAGGTAGAAGTTGTACTTGAGCAGGTCGGCGAGGGAGTAGCGGCGGTCGGGGCGCGCACAGCTCTCCAGCGCGAAGCTGGTGCAGCGCAGCACGGTGAAGCCGCAGCCCCCGTGAAACAGCACCTCTTGAAGATCAAAAGTGCCCGTTACAAACCCACTCTGGAGGGAGAGAACAGGCCGCCAGCTCGCCAGGTGCCTCCTGTCTCGGGGAGAAGCCCCCGCCCTAGCTTCCCACAGGGGCTCAGCCCCCTCCTCTCCTCCAGAACTGGTTAGCTTGGGCCACTGCCACATCCCAGCCACGTGGGAGAGCAGGGGACAGGCTGGACACTGGCTGCTGGGCTGCAGGTGCCCGCCTGTGGGCAGGACACTCAGAGGCTTGAAGACAGGTGGGAAAGGGAGGGGGTCCTCGGGGATGTGGCAGGGCCCTGGATGAAGGAAGACCTTTGGGGATCTAGCCCTGACTGCTCCACCCCGCCCCAGTGCGCACCTGCCAGGAGATTAGGGGGTCCATCTTGAAGGAAGCCAGGCTGGCCAGGCCGAGGCCCAGACAGAGCCAGGGCTGGCCCAAGAGTGAGGCCACATAGAGGCCCACGCAGTGGCCGAGCAGCAGCAGCAGGTACCACGGGCCCATGGTGCCCAGCACGGTCAGGACCCCGTACACGGCGTACATCCAGGAGCGGAGCTGTGGATGGAGGCGGCTTCAGTGCAGGGTCTGCACAGCCGGGCACCGCAATCTGGTGGCTGAGGAGGAGCTGGCAGGGCCTGCTCACCTGGGGAGCCACCATCGTGCAGAGTTTAGCGAACAGCACGTGTCCAGAGAGGGCGAAGACGATGACGTTGCGGAAGGACGTGAACCACATCACCCACTCGAAGTCGGCTACGTCCTGAGGCGGTGTGGGGTGGGAGAGCATGGGGCAGGCTGGCCGGTCAGAGCCCCAGCAGCCTCATGCACTAGACAAGAACAGTGGCCGAGGCGCCCTCATCCCCATGGAGGGACGTGCCCGGGCATAGGAGTGGGGCGCCATGTGAGCTGCCCTGTCCCCCAGCCTCCCCTCCATGCAGCACCTTGCCCAGCGCCCCGCCACGACTGCTCTGTTCCTGGGAAGGGTGGCATGGAGGCCCCTGCCGAGGCAGATTTCAGCTTCTGACCCATGTCCCGAACGAGCAGGGCCTGAGCAGGCGCCACGTCCCAGGGGGACACAGGAGGGGCCAGTGCAGAAGCCAAAGTGCCCACACGCAGGCCACAGTCCCTTTTGCCGTGAGCCTGCCGTTACCTGAGAACACCCGGAATGGTGGAGAGCGGGGCAGGGCTTGGGACGGGAGACGCACGCCAGGGATCGGGGACCCCGGGTGCGAGGGACCTACCATCTTCCGACCAATGTACTCCCAGCCGGGGCGCACGGACTCGCGGAAGGCCTTCCTGTGAGCCCCATCTGAGAAGAGTGTGGCCTCAGGGGAAGGGCCCTTCACATCCCTCCCCACCTGCCCCCGCTGCTGCTTCTCTCTGGGTCTTGCTGCATGTCTGGGTCCCGGTCTCTGAGAGTGTCTGTTTATGTGTGTGCACGTGTGCACTTCTGGGTCCAGATCTCTGAGAAAGAGAGAGAGAGAGATTGCATGTGCATGCAGGCATGCGTTTCTGGGTCCAGGTCTCTGAGAGTGTGTGTATATGTGTGTGTACATGCGTGTGTCTCTGGGCCCCGGTCTCTGAGAGTGTGTGTATATGTGTGTGTGTGCACGTGTGTCTCTGGGCCCCGGTCTCTGAGAGTGTGTTTGTGAGTGTGTGCGTGCGTGCATTTCTGGGTCCAGGTCTCTGAAAGTGTGTGTATATGTGTGTGTACACGTGTGTCTCTGGGCCCCGGTCTCTGAGTGTGTTTGTGTGTGCACGTGCGTCTCTGGGCCCCAGTCTCTAAGAGTGTGTTTGTGAGTGTGTGCGTGCGTGCATTTCTGGGTCCAGGTCTCTGAGAGTGTATGTGTATGTGTGCGCACGTGCGTCTCTGGGCCCCGGTCTCTGAGAGTGTGTTTGTGTGTGCACGCGCGCGTGTGCCTCTGGGTCCCTGTCTCTATTAGTGTCCGCACCTCTGCATCCCTTTGCGCCTGATTCTGCCCCACCCAGGCCTAGGGAGTGGGTTTCTGGCCCGGAGGTTGGAACCCCGAAGCCCCCAGGGGAAGAAGGGTCCCACTGCCTGCCCAGGGCCCGCTGTTACCTTGCGAAGCCTCCAGCAGCCCCCGGCCAGCATAGGCCAGGGCCCCGCTCAGCACCAGCGAGTAGAGGCCCAGCTCCGCGGCCGGCAGTGCTGTCTTGATGCCCATAGCCTGGACCTGGACGGGGCTGGGGAAACAGGCCTGGTGAGGGCACTGCAGGGCGCGGAGGCCCCAGCCCTGCCCAGCCCCACCTCATGGTCCCCTGCTGGGGTGGTGGGGATCCTGCCCTGAAGAGACTGCCCTTCCGCCCCTCCGGGACTGTGTGACACCACTCTCCCCACTCCTGGGCCCCCACTCCTCCAGGGCCGCCTGGCACCTGGTGCCCCATCCTGTCTGCTGTCCCGGTTCCCACCTGGAGAGCTCTGAAAAGGCACGCTCAGCCTGCCTGTCACCTTCACACCACTCAGGTCGGCCGTCCCAGCCCTCTACCAGAACCCCTCCTGCCAAGACCCATGACCTTCGTGTGGAGAACCCCATCTCTACTGCCCGTTTCCTGCCCCGGCCTCTCTGTACCCGCAGAGAACTCCCTGGGTTCCCGACATGGCCCCTGCCCAAGGCCCCGTCTCTGACACCCTCTCCCCTCTCTGGGCTGCCTTTCCTGCCCTGAGCCTAGTCCCACCCTCCGCAGGCCCTGCCCCATCCCTGTCATTCAGCCTCAGCCTCTCACCAACCCCTGTGTCCTGAGAGCCCTGAGCTCCAGCCTGCTACATCCCTGGGCCCCGCCTGGGTCTGTGACCACACTGTCCCGCTGTCCCAGGCTCCGTGCGCTCAGGTCCTGGGCACTGGCTGAGGCTCTGCTATTTGAGAAGTTGCCCTGGAGTGGCCAGTGTGGGGCCTGGGCAGGGCCAGGCAGGGCCAGGCAGGCTCCAGAAGGGCGTTGGCTGCTGTCCAAGGTGCTGACCGGTGGGGCCCCGGCTGTGCCCAGCCATGCCCCACTGCCAGGGCAGAGCTTGTCCTCAGGAGTCTCGTGGGGCCATCGCTGGCACTTCAGCTAGCACCTTCCCACTCCCCTTCAGCCTGGCCGGGGTCTTCCCAAGGGCCCCATGGGCACAGTCTCAGGACCAAATTAAAGGCAGGAAGGTATCTGAGCACCCTTTAAGGCTGAGCCAGGCCCAGAGGGCTGGTGTGGCTCTGGCTCCCACCCTCCCCCTCCCCCACATCTTAGCCACAGCCTTCCCACTACACAGACGGAAGGGGCACCCACCAGCAAGGGGCAGGGCCTGCCAAGGTCACCCGGGAAAGCTGGGACAGGCTTCTGTCCTGCCCCCCTCAGGACCGGGTGTTCTGTGAACCCCTCTGGAGTCTTGGACTGAAGGCCACCACTGTCCCTGCCCAGGCCTGGGGGCTCCCGGCCCGACCTCTGCACGCTGGCCTGAGAGCGGAGGGATGTCCTCACCCGCTGGGAGGAGGGAGGCCCTGGGGATCAGGTTAATGGAGCAGGAGCCTGAAACCGGAGCACAGCGCAGAGCCCGCGAAATAGCTTTGTCAGCTGCCTCCCACTCGCCGCTTTCCAATTTTAGCTCCCTGTGGCCGGTGCGGGGTGTCCCTAGTGAGGCCTTTGTGAGGAGCCCGGCCTCAGCCTGGGGCCTCTCTCTATAGACCCCCAGACCCGGGCCCGCTGGTGGACATGGGGGTGTCTCCCTGGCCCCGTCTGTCTCAGGTGCACCTGGGTACAGCCCAGTGTGGCACCTGTGATCCGGGACAAGGGCCTGGGGTGGACTCTGTAGTTCTCAAGGGCCCCAGAGTGGCTGTACCCCCAGCTGACACTGACCTTGAGGAGCTGCGAGGGGCCTTGGCACACTGCCCACCTCAGGGCTCCGGGGTCCTGCGTCCAAGCGTGCGTCCGGCCGGCCAGCTGAACTCCAGTGGGGTGTGTCTAGGCCTGGGGTCCCCACCCCCTCGAGGCTACGAGAGCGGTGAGTGGTGACAGTGGGGGGAGGAGGGGGAGGAGGAGGGCAGGGAGGAGGTGGCCTTCCCGGAGCGGAGCTGAGCGGAGTGGAGCAGAGCTGAGTGCTGCAGAGCTGCCTGCGTCCAAGCGTGCGTCCGGCCGGCCAGCTGAACTCCAGTGGGGTGTGTCTAGGCCTGGGGTCCCCACCCCCTCGAGGCTACGAGAGCGGTGAGTGGTGACAGTGGGGGGAGGAGGGGGAGGAGGAGGGCAGGGAGGAGGTGGCCTTCCCGGAGCGGAGCTGAGCGGAGTGGAGCAGAGCTGAGTGCTGCAGAGCTGCTGGTCGCAGGGAGCCGCAGGGGGGATGGGGGGGGGGGGGAGGAGGAGGGCAGGGAGGAGGTGGCCTTCCCGGAGCGGAGCTGAGCGGAGTGGCGCAGAGCTGAGTGCTGCAGCGGGGCGCAGGG